CAGGACATCAAATGTCTTTTCCCCAATATCCTAGTTCTTAAGCTTGGATTGGAGATGTGTTGATACTTTTAGGAAAGTGGAGAGCTAGAAGCTGGAGTCTCGCTTCCCTCAACTGCCCGTGTGTGGCCTGGGGGGCGATGTCTGGGGCCTTGGAATAAAAACACCTCTGTAAGCAGGCTATTTTGCCTTGCTTGGCATACCAGAGACAATAGTTCTGAAAGTGAGGGATTCTATATGTGAGAGGTGGGTGACAAAAAGAACTCAAAATAGAGTTTTATAAAATGGATATTAGCATAACCACTGCTAAGTGGGGTTGAGGGAGCACAGCTTCCTATTCCATTTGTGACAATAAAACACTTAGGGAGGATAAGCCACTGGAGATTAAGATTATCTGTGTACTCACTATCCTACTATCCTGTTTTACTTCTGACTATCCTAAAATCTTTCAGAGGAGCTAATTGGCTATAGGCAAGGGACTAAGTTTAAACTGAGAACACAGGAGAACTATCTTAGTAATATTGACCAAAGACCCTCTTATCAATGGAATAGAACAAGAAGGAGAGAATTTTGTAAAGATTTTATTTTTAAGTAATCTACACCCAATGTGGAGCTCAAACTCACAAACTCACATGCCGTGCCCACTGAGCCAGCCAGGTGCCCCAGAAGAGAATTTTGATAAAGTTTTTTTTTGTTTTTGTTTTGTTTTGTTTTTTACTGTGATTGTGTCTCATCCCCCAATGGGCTGGTGCTCTGGCAGAGCCCATGTCTGAGAGAGAGAAAACAGGACTGGGGAGGGAGTTCTCACAGGGAAGCTCACAGTTGGACCAGCCTTGGCCAGAGAGGGGTGGAGGCTTTCAGAGTTTGCTGATTCTAGGGTTTTTGCTGATACTTAAATTTAAAGAACAAAGAATTCACAAGAGACTGTGACTGCAGTCGTCATACTTAGATATCTGAAGTTCAACAACACAAGGGCTGACTCTAGTATGGGAATAAGGAGAATGCTGTTTTCGTCTGAGCTCCTGCACTACCCAGAGAGCTCCTTCACCTCCCTAGGAGTGAGTTTCCTCCCCTGAAAAGTGAGAGTCTCTTTGTGCTTCCATGTGAGAGGCAAGAATTGGCTCACCCGGCGTGTTTTCCTCTCCTCCTCTGCTGCCAGGAAACTCAAGTCAGATTCAAAGATTTAAGGAACTCTTCAGGCCCCTGGGCTTGATATTTCCTTCCTTGTTTTGACCTTCTGTTCTAACTTTTGTTTTTTTCTGATCTTAGTGGTTTTTAAAAAAATTTTTTTTTTAACGTTGATTTATTTTTGGGACAGAGAGAGACAGAGCATGAACGGGGGAGGGGCAGAGAGAGAGAGGGAGACACAGAATCAGAAACAGGCTCCAGGCTCTGAGCCATCAGCCCAGAGCCTGACGCGGGGCTCGAACTCACGGACCGCGAGATCGTGACCTGGCTGAAGTCGGACGCTTAACCGACTGCGCCACCCAGGCGCCCCAGTGGTTTTTTAAAAAAATTTTTAATGTTTATTTTTGAGAGACAGAGCATGAGTGGGGGAGGGGCAGAGAGAGAGGGAGACACAGAACCCGAAGCAGGCTCCAGGCTCTGAGCTATCAGCACAGAGCCTGATGCAGGGCTTGAACCCACAAACCGTGAGATCATGACCTGAGCTGAAGTAGGATGCTTAACCGACTGAGCCACCCAGGCGCCCCTTTCATGTTTTTTTATTGCACAGATTTTTTACACTGCATCTCTAATCCTGTGTGTAATGAGCATGGTGTAAAAAAATGGTAAAGTGGGAGGGGGGGGTCCCAGTAGAGGAGTTCCAGTGACCCTTACAACACTGATGTTCTGTGATTCTTAAGGGAAAAGCCACTGCACATATCTGAAGGTATCAGATTTGCGTGGAAGGGAGCTCGCTTACTGAGGGTCTTAAAGGTTTCAATAAACCTGTAAGGAGGGCTGGCCAGGATGTTCTACATCACTGGCACATGTCTGCAAAGGAGCCAGCACTTTGTGCTACTTTATAGGAAGATGGCTATTGTCTTGGGACTTTTATTATTTAAAAAGTTGTTTGTTTAATGTTTATTTATTTTTGGAAGAGACAGAGAGAGAGACAGAGTGCAAATGGGGGAGGGGCAGAGATAGAGGGAGACACAGAATCTGAAGCAGGCTCCAGGCTCTGAGCTCTGAGCTGTCAAGCACAGCTCAAAGCCTGATGCAGGGCTTGAACTCAAGAACTGCAAGATCATGACCTGAGCCAAAGTCGGATGCTCAACTGACTGAGCCACCCAGACACCCCTCTCTTGGGACTTTTAGACTGCCCTGTGAGAAATCTGGGGGGAGAAATGCCTGTCTGAGGCAGGAGTCAAGAATCAGAAGCTGTATCAAAAACTCCAAGGAGTTTTGATGTTACACTTGAATTTAAGAAAGCCCAAGGGAGGGGTGCCTTGGTGGCTCAGTTGGTTAAGTGTCTGACTCTTGATCTCAGCTCAGGTCATGATCTTAGGGTCCTGAGCCCAGGCCCCACGTTGGGCTCTGGGCTGGGTGTGAAGCCAACTTAAGGAAAAATAAAAGAGAGAGAGAGAGAGAAAGAGGAAGGAAGGAAGGAAGGAAGGAAGGAAGGAAGGAAGGAGCAAGGAAGGAAGGAAGGAAGGGAGCCCGAGGGAATGTGTAAATGTATTTTGGGGGTGGGAGAGATTGGCTGAGAATAATACTTCATCTATTTCATCCATATGCTCATTTTGACTTTTTACTGTATCAAGTACTTTGATAGGGCTTGAATTACTTTGAGTGTTTATATAAGAATTAATTATATATGTAACATCATGTATATCAAAGACATACTCCTACTTCGAGTAAATAAAAAGCTTTAAAATATATACTAAATAAATATCAATTACTAAGCAGTTATTCATTTTTGAAATATCACTTTACCAAAGGACCCATCATGGGTTCTAATAAATGTCCATATATGATTTGTTTTGACAAGGACTTTCCCAAGAGCACCGCTGCTCTGTAAACAGAAGAATTATACAGATGTTCTGGGGTTGATCGATTTAGATTTGGTTCTGATTTGTGCCATGAAGCCAACAGTAAGTTGGAGAAATATGTTTCAAAGCCAGAGATAAAAGTTTGGATAATTACGATCTATTCCTGAACACAAAGATTTGGTGCTATCTAGAACCCATGAAAACTGAACAATTTGTTCTTTTCTGCTGTAAGTCAGATCTGTTTTCCTTATGCCTTAAAATAGCCTCTGTCTTGAGTTTTCATTGGCCAGATTCTACTGGTTTAGTTCCATCCTGTTAGTTTTCTTGAACAAAGTCATGCTACCTAACGTTTTTTTAGACTTCCAGGACACCAGTCACATAAACTCCTCTTTACCATATTGGGGGATAACGAAAACTTAGATTTGCTTTTTCCTCTGAGAAGGGTGGCAGGTGGGGGGATCCCGTTCATCTTTTCTGTCAGGGACGGATCTGCTTTCTGTAGAGGTAGACTCTGGACATCTCTATGCTTTCTCATCATAAGAGCTTATGTTTATTTATGCATGATTACGTAACTCCTCACCATAACTTCTGAGGTGGGCGCTAACTTACCACCATGTACAGATGAGCAAATTGAGGCAAGTTGCCCTGGGTTCCATGTTGAATAGGAGGTAGAGCCCAGGATAGGATCAGGTCTGACTGCTCCTGAGCTCACCTTTTTTTTTTAATTTTTTTTTTCAACGTTTATTTATTTTTGGGACAGAGAGAGACAGAGCATGAACGGGGGAGGGGCAGAGAGAGAGAGGGAGACACAGAATCAGAAACAGGCTCCAGGCTCTGAGCCATCAGCCCAGAGCCCGACGCGGGGCTTGAACTCACAGACGGTGAGATCGTGACCTGGCTGAAGTCGGACGCTTAACCGACTGCGCCACCCAGGCGCCCCATGAGCTCACCTTCTTAATGACAACCCTAGACTACATCACAGAATCCATAAGCTGGTCTGGAGTATGAAAAATCAAGCCTGAGTGGTAGAGATAGGAAGATAGAAATGTATCTAAAGGATGTAGGAATCTGGATCTATAGCTGTAGGGGAGTAAGCAGTTGATTATGAGTTATATGGGTCAAAGAGAGTTGTTTGCTTGATTTACCTAGGTAACTGGCCCCATACTTTTCTCTTTGGAAAGACCTGGTCCAAAAGTAACCTGTGTTAGACATTTTCGCTTTTAAAATTTTCAGGTACTTTTTTTTTTTTTAACTGGCTTTTGGTTATCTGTCTGTTGAGAGTTTATCTGTTTGGTTTACAGTCTACCTATCTGGGTAAATTTGTCCCATTGGGAAATGAGACATTCTATTTTAATGTAAAAAGTTGACAGTGACGAGTGGCCAGAAGTGTATAGTTCAAAGAGCTCAAATAAAAAAAAGAAAAGATGATATAAAGACAGTGTTGGGATTTGAGGGAGTCCACGAAGACCATTTGCTCTTTCCTGCTTTAGTTATACATTGATTGAGAAATGTCTAAAGAGGAAGACATATGGAGACTACAGTATTCCCTTAATTACAGAGAAAGTGGGTCCTGGAAAATGAGGGAGCAGGGTTCCTAATGTGGTCCCCTGCCTCTCAGTAATGGGCAGCGCTGTCTTGGGGCAGGGCCCCTGTCTCCAGGAACTGAGCTCATCCATGGAAAGTTTAGCACACGGAGGAACGTGTTCTAGGCTAAGAGGGCAGAGCTGGGCTCCCTCTGCTTGGGTTTTCCTCCAAGTTCCCAAGTCACATGAGCCACCCCAGTGCTCCAGTGTTGAAAGGGGGGAAGGGCTGAATGTGGCTGGGAGTTTGACCATAAAGGAAGTGGACGAAACCTCAGGAAAAGGGAAGACTGACTGCCTAACAAATTGCAAGGAGAATCAGAGCCTTGGTTCTCTCTCTTTGGGAGTAAATTTGATATTTGTATTTAGCATCTATAAACAGGAAGCAGGTAGGTGAATTAACTTGCTTTTGTTCTATTTAAACTTTTAGATTCTTGGCTATCAGAACACCGTCTTCTTTGGTGGAGACTGTATATCCATGATCGATTACCTCTTTTGGCCCTGGTTTGAGCGGCTGGATGTGTATGGAATAGCTGAGTAAGACATTTGACTGTGGGGTTGCACTGGGTAACAAGTAGAATGACCAGCCACACAGCATGGAAAGTTAGGGATATTTAAAATAGATGAAGTTGCCCGGTGGACCTGGGGAGACCATGTAGGGGTCCGCAGCCAGAACATGTGCTTTGTTTCGTTGCTCAGAGACGTTGAACTTGTATTGGGACCTGCTGTACTCCCAGTCCAGCGCATAATTGGGCGCTGGACAATTATGGTGTTGGGGAACCAGGTCCTGCCCCGGTAGAAGTGCGTCTGTACCCTCACGATGCGCAGGCTCACACCTACCCAGCCATGCTCTCCTGCACCTCCCACTTGGGCTGTCTCCAAAGGAAGATCACATAAAACATAGTTAGATATTTTAAACTATGTCTCCTCTGGAGATGGAGTACTGAACCACGGATCGGGAACCCTCACCTCTTCCTGGATTTCCCACTCACCAGTGGTACTATTTTGAGCAAATCACTTCCATATCCTAGACCTAAATTTCCTGATCCATCTTTGAAAGGGCTGGGTCAGCTCCATTATTTCAAGGTTTGATGATGGTTTTACTGATTTTTAAAAAGTGTTTTTGGAAACGACTTGTCTTGTTTCAAACTCCCTAAAGTAAAATCTAACAATGACAGAAGAATGTTTCTTTTTGTGGCGGGTGGGGAGGGGGGTGTCCTTTTGTTGGTAAACAGTGAAGCCCAGACACCTTACTTCCTGGAACAATCAGTCCACAAGCATTTTAACTTGTGAAAAGCAACAACAACAACTTCTGTAAATTCCAAACGTGCACAGCTGTTCCCCAAATGAGCTTTTCCTCCAGTCAATGATCATGACCAGTTGATAATAAGGTAACCAAGATAACTTCATTGCCCAAACAAACCAGTCTTTTGTATCTTGTCAATCTAAGAAGCACGCCTGCCACCTTTACCCATGGCTTCCCTTTCAGACAAGCTAACCGTTCTTTCCTGTCCTGCAGCTGTTTGAACCACACGCCAGCTCTCCGGCTCTGGACAGCAGCCATGAAGCAGGACCCCACAGTGTGCGCCCTTCTCATAGATAGGAGCATTTTCCTGGGCTTCTTGAATCTTTATTTTCAGAACAACCCTGATGCTTTTGATTATGGGCTAACTTGCTGAGTCTCAGTCTCCCCCTTCACATCCAGAATTCCCAAGCACGTCGTGACTCTACATCAGGGATTGTTTTGGTGGGTCAATCAATCTCTGTTCATTTTCTTTGAGGTTCTCAATAAATGTGGAGACAGAAAATGTATTCTTTCTCACAATCCGTTTGTATGACTCCTCAGGCCTCTACCTTCTGATGATTCTCAAGAAATCTCAAGTGCCCAGTGCCAATGTCCAAGCACATTTTGGGAGCCTGTGTGCCTCCTGGCTCCTTGGCCTTTGGCCCAGTTTGACCTCCAGATCACTGGTGCTCAGGCTGATGTGGAGGTTCAAGGCCTGCCCATCAATGATGTTCATCACTACGGATCGGGCCCCTCCACAACCTCCCTGGAGAGAGGAAAGCTGGAGAAGAGGAAGAGGGAAACACTCCAGGCCCAAATACTCTCCATTTGGCAACTGAAAGCTGCTGTCCACATGGGCATGCATGTGTATCATTCTTGTTCACACTTTGGCACTGGCCTGGGAGACACCGAGGGTCTTGTGACTAAAAAAATCCTGAAGCAGGAAATGAAACACCCGCTGTTCCCCTAGACCGACTACGTCAGAATTTCACCGGTGCTGTCAGGGTTCAGGATGGCTCACAGAATGTTCTATAGCCAACATCCTGCCTTGAAAAAATAAACAACGCCCCAAACCCAGTCACAGGCAAAGGTCACTTGGTTGCATTTGCGTCACACACACTTTCACTTGGTCTCAACAGATACCTCTGGTTGCCTGCTGTGTACCAAGCCCTGGGCCATGTGGGGGCGAAAGATGACAAAAACACAGGAGCCCCTGGTCATTCCATTCATCTTGGTGGAGGCTGTAGACTTCGTGCTTTGGAGCTGGTTCTCTGGCAGTGGGAACGCTTGTCTTGGCCCCATATGGCACCTGGACTGGCTCTGCCCAGCACTGCTCACGACCGAGGGTGACCGGGGGTGCTGGCAGGAACCGGATGCTGGCAGCTTCTATCACTTACCCCATAGGAGTGGGACAGGGCTGTCCGATGCCATCTTATCTCCAGGTCTGGGGATCGGCCTGTCATCATTTCAGCTCTGTTCATGCTGAACCTCTTCTTAGCTTCCCAGCCGTGGCGAAAGACCAGGCAGTAGTGGGAGTGATGTTGTGACTTGTCAGTGCCCACTGAGCTGTCTGCAGCCCCTGCCTCTGACTCAGCCCAGCCAGCCCTGTTTCTCCCCACGTCTCAGCCCAGCCCGGCCATCTGCTGCCTCTGGGTGGATTTTGACTCATGTCAATAGCTACCGGTGTGGCTCTGAGCCAGCTGGACAGACGCAAGCCTGCTTTGGTGAGGTGGCCCGATCTGCCAGTATGGGTGCCACGTGACGGGGGCAGTGTGCTCAGGATGGGGCGCCCTGTTGCCATGGCACCTGAGCCAGAGCAGAGCAGTCTGCGAGTCACATTTTCCTGGATCTTTGCTTGGCCCCTGTGGCCTCTCCTAGGACTCGGGGACTGATCGGACTTTGCAGGTGTAAAATCCTGTGTGTTGGCAAGTATTTGGCGTGAGACCAAAATTGCTGTTGACACAACAGATAATGGCATGTCTTTGGATGACCAAAACCAAAGATGTTCTCTTTGGGGCTCTACATACTAATTTAGGAAGCTTGCAAAACCAAGAAACACAGGATGAGAAAAGTGCTCGTGGGGAGAGGTTGCAGGCTGGTGGCCCACAGCCCAGTTTGGGAAGTGAATGCTTTTCGGCCAGGCATGCTCTCTGCAGTTTGCTGGGGTCACCTGCACTGCCTTCCACGTCTTCCTTCTCCTTTATGCCACCCGTCTGCCCCATAGAGGAATCCGTTGTTAACCTCTGGATAAAAGTGTAAGGATTTAGCCTGGAGAAGAGAGGCAATTAAATAATGCTCCACAAGGAGCTTTTAAAATACCATGTCTTTCATTGCAGGAGAGGGCAGAAATAACATATTAGGGCTTTTTAAAAAATGCAACAATGAAAATAGGAATTCTTCCACCATCTCGTGTTGCAGAGATAACCGCTTTTAACAATCGGTGTGTATCTTATAAAAGCACGTCGAACTTACAGATTTAAGCTGAAAGCTGTTCTCTATGTCCTGCGGTGTGGAAAAAGAGAAAAATAGTTTGAAAGAGCCTCATTGTCATACATGAGGTTAACATCTGAATCCTTGACCAGAGGAGGTCCTGTGAAGCTCCCGTCCCTAGTGGTTCTGAACTGGAGCCCATCTGGACCGAGTCCAGTGACATCCTGGCTTGGTTGGGGGTAGGCTGGGTGGCTGGGACAGCTGGAAGTGATGGTGGGGGTAGGGGGAGATGGTGACTGTTACTTGAAGTTCCTTCTAGCTCAAAATCTCTCTGATCTCAGACAAAGCAGCAGTTGAGCGTGCGAGTGGCTTAAATCTGAATTATAAGGCCCGAGCTGGAGTGTTTCTTCTGTGTGTGCCCTCCACATTGCCCTTTGGAGCTCTGGGTGCAGGTGTGTGTGTGTGTGTGTCTCTCTCCTTTGATTCCTCAGTTTCATGTGTTGCCTGGTCCACCTTTCCTTTGTCAAAGTCGAAGGCCTTCTTGACGCAGGGGGAATGCGCTCCTTTGCCTTCAGAACCAAGCTTGACTCTTGGGTGGTTTATGTTGGCCTGTTTCCATTTGTTACCTAAAATCTTCACAAATAACCAAATATCCAGCCCAAGGGGGCTCTTGTTGATTAGCCTCCAGCCTCTCTCTCCCTTTCCCTCCCACACAGAACACTGTACCCGCCCAGGAGACTCATTTCCCATTCATCTTCTTCTGTGAGTCCCTGGAAGCCTGGCCATTGGCTTTTTCAAACATTTTGCTCCCATCTGGCTTGTCAGAGCTCTTGAGCCTTTGCGAATACTGTTTCCTCTACTCTCCCAGTCTTCCTCAGAGCAGCCTGTTGTTTTGTTTTGTTTTGTGTTTTGTTTTTTTCAACCAGCCTTTTCTCTGGCAAAGTTCAGATAAAAATTCTTCTTTGTGTAAAGAGATAGCATACCAGTGTGGATAAGAATGGGGCTGTTCGGTCAGATATTCTGAGCTCATGTCCTAGCTCTGCCACTCATTAAATTCTGTTCCTTAACCTTTCTGAGCATCAGTTTCTTATCTGTAAAATGAGACCATTGTGTTTATTTCGTAGGGTTGTTGAAGAATACTGGGATCATCCACGTAAGGCCTCAACACTTGCCAGGTAAATGCTCAGTGAATGGTAGGAAACCCTATCATCATGGTGAGACTTCTGTGAAAGATCAGACTTGACCGCTGTGTTCATTCTCCCATGACTTTGTGGGACATGGTGTCCTACATTGTACATGGCTTGGTTCATGGTTTGGAGTGTTTCCTGGTTCCGTGTGTGGGTTTGATCTCAAATGACCTGTGAGCCCTTGGAAGCTGGGACTTTTCTCTCTCCTCCTCCTCTTCCTAGCACCCCAAGCCTAGTTTAATACTGAGTCCCCAGATCTTGCCACATTGTTGATGATAGTAAAATAAATACCCTTTCCCATGTTGTGAAGAAGTACTCAGATTCTCACTTCTTGGCCTGCTTGGAGCACACTTAAGGGAATGGATTTGAAATGACCAAGGGCCTGTGCAGCTGTTAGGCAGCTTGGGTGCCGCAGTTAGGCAGCTTGGGTGCCTCATGGAACACACCAGCACCCCAGGAGCATGCTGCTCATGGAAAGGATGATCACACACATGCTCCAGGCAAGAGCTGTGGAATACTGTCTTGTCACTTTCTCCCAAGGATCCACTGCACCAAGACTCCCCTTGTAGACAGCAGTGGTCCAGGCGGCCTACTTTGTCAGTAGCAAATGGCCTGCAGGGCGTGGCTGAAAAGCAAAAATCAGCTCCCTGGCATACGGGGCAGGCTAGAAAGAGCATTTGCAAGCCCAAAGCAACTGAGGCAGGCTCTGACTGTGCAGCCCACCCAAGGGAGCCTGAGCGGACCCTCTCCTGGGAGCACAAGACAGGTTTCTGAACCTAGGATGGCTATCTGTTAGCAGGAGCAGCCTTTGATAAAAACAGATAAATCTGTTTCCAAAGCCATGCAATATTTGGGTTATTATGCTTAGGGATTTAGAAAGTCTCTCAAAGGATGTGTGTGTGTGTGTGTGTGTGTGTGTGTGTGTGTGTGTGTGTGTGTTTGCATGTTTCTGTGCATTTCTGCCATAGGAGGAAGGTACCAGGATAAATAATTAGAAACTGTACAGATGGGAAGGTCAGGAATTGTTTTTTAAAAGTCCATCCTAAAATAAATGGTAATTGGCCATTCATTTGCTAAAGAGCAAGGTCCCCTTTGGAGACTTTATCTGGGACCATCTGATGGTAGCAGAGGTGTGGTGGGGAACACACATTCCACCTGCAGAGGCTGCCAGAGGAAGAGCTAGCTGGGGTTCTGCTAACCTAAAACCTAGGCCTCAGGTTTATGGAGGAAGGAACCCAAGGTGGAGTCAGAACAGACAACCTTCTGTTTATGGAGAGCTCACTATTTTTGTTTTTGTTGTCCTTGACTTTATCACTCAAGTCCTAAAGCTAAATCCTACCTTTTTACCCAATCTTCTCAATGGCTGTATGAGGTGGACAGCGTGATCCCATTTTATAGAAGAAACAGGCAAAACCAAGGCTCGTAGAAACTAAGAGACTTGCTGAGACTTGCTGGCATAGCTGGGATTTGAACACAGAACTCAAGCTCTTAGTCCCTGTGCCAGTTACATGGTCTGGAATCTGACTCATTGGTCTTTGCACGGCTTTGTCATGAGAGAAGCTGGGTATCTAGTGGGCAGCACCTTACATGTGGGCCTCCATTTTGAGTGGGCACATGGAGACAGGGCAGGGGTCTGCACTTCCTTGTCTCTCTCTGGATCGCTAAACATTCAGGCTGAGTGATCTTGCTGCTCCAAGTCTGGTTCTGGATGGGTGGAGCTTTGGTAGCTTCCCTGCCTGGCCAGGTTATAAAATGTTGCAGGCACAAATGTGTGGAGAGGGCTTCTTGGGAATTGGTCCCAGCAAAGCTATGGGTCTCAAGAGGGCGGAATGCCACCAACCTCCGCCCTGCATCAGGCTCTACTTAAGGCCTCTGCTGTCGTCTTGGTTGGCCCAGATTCCTGGGGTAGG